CCTGACATTGGAGGCTCAAACCTAGAGCTAGAGCTAGGGGAGCCCTCATCACTAAGACTTCCAGACTCCGACATCTACAACAAACAGAAACAAACTCTATCACTACATGAAGGATCAAAACATAAAGAAGCTCATAGGGCATGAAGAAAAGCTCAACCAGTTCATTATGTTCTTAACAAAATACATGAACACTCAAACAATTCAACAAGAATGAAAACATCCGATTTAGTGGAGAAGACTACCAACCTGAAGATGGTACAACAAAGCAATGCCGGAATCCCTCTCAAGTAAAGAGCACTATGTCTTCAAAAATCACTACAAGATGAGCGCATGAAGGTAAGGTAAAGAATGGAAACTTACTCTTCTCATATATAGTTCAACATGGCTATTGACATTCAAAATTCAAATTCAAACCATGAGAAAGCCTCACATGAAAAATCTTCAAACTTCTAACACTAGGGAGTTCCACATTTCAAATGTTTAAGTTGCCCCCTTCAAAAAAAAAAAAAAAAAAAAAAGGGAAGGGGGAACACAGCAGCTTCATCAATGGGATTCAACTACCAATCTAAAAAACTTCGCACTATCTTGATGAAGGACAAATATCAATCTCAAAAGCTTCGCACTATCTTCATCAAGATAGTGTGAAGCAAGATCAATTTATGGTGCCAACAAAAGCTTCATCAATGGAGGACCAATATCAATCTCAAAAGCTTCGCACTATCTTCATCAAGATAGTGTGAAGCAAGATCAATTTATGGTGCCAACAAAAACTTCATCAATGGAGGACAAATATCAATCTCAAAAGCTTCGCACTATCTTCATCAAGATAGTGTGAAGCAAAATTAATTTATGGTGCCAACAAAAGCTTCACCTATAAAGCTTCAACCCTTCAACACCAAAGCTTCACCTATAAAGCTTCAACACCAAAGCTTCACCTATAAAACTTCAACACCAAAGCTTCACCTATAAAGCTTCAACACCAAAGCTTCACCTATAAAGCTTCAACACCAAAGCTTCACCTATAAAACTTCAACACCAAAGCTTCACCTATAAAGCTTCAACACCAAAGCTTCACCTATAAAGCTTCAACACCAAAGCTTCACCTATCAAGCTTCAACCCCAAAGCTTCACCTACAATACAAAATTTCAACACCAAAACATATAAAAGCTTCACACACTCTTCATCAAGATAGTGTGAAGCAAAATCAATTCATGGTGCCCAACAAAGCTTCAACCTCAAAGCTTCACCTACAAAGCTTCAACACCAAAACTTCACCTACAAATGTTTAAAATATATATATATATATATATATATATATTATTTTTAATTTTTTTTTCGGAAATTCGAAAATTCAAAAATTCGGAAATTTGAAAATTCGAAAATTCGAAAATTAAAAAAAAAAAAAAATTGCCTAGGCCTCCTCTTCTTTGAGCCTAACAACTTTCATAACAAATATATATGAAGAAGGAGTTTTGGGCTACCACTTAGAAAGGAAATGCCTCATCCGTCAACTCCCTCGACCAGAGACTTGGGGGACTCCTACCATATGCTACTGCACCTTGATACTCGGAAGTCTCACGACCACTCAGTGACTTGGATTTTTCAAGTCTCCAAACGAGAAGTTTTCCTCACTCAGGAAATTAAGGGAGCACTACCTCAACCTACATGCTTCACTCACAAAGTTTCAACATACAAGCTTCAACAAAAGAAAAAATTCAAAGAACTTAGTATGAAGAAGGCCTTTGGTGTATTTAACACAATACGTTGAAATGAAGCAAATCTTATTTATTGATATCTTCCGATAAGTTACAAATATGTACATATACATGAATCAAAATAAACAAACAAGAGGGAGCCTTCACAAAGGTTAGGGGAAGTCTCAGCAGTCGGTAGAGCCCCAGAAAGAGAAAGCACCGGAGGGTGGTTATTCCGGAGCCTCAGTACTAGACAGAAACCCCAGAAGGAGGAGGCATTGAAGGTTGATCATTTGGAGCTTCATTACGCAGGTACAGCCCCAGAAGACGAAGGCAATAAATGCCTTTGGAACAAACCCACAAACTTCTGATGATCAAGTAAAAACCTGACCATCAGATTCCTTCATCTGGTCAAGCTTCCTCTTCATGTTTGTAGCATAGTCATGTGCGAGCCGGTGCAACTGTTTATTCTCATGCTTGAGCCCTCTAATCTCCTGTTTGAGACTCATCACTTCAGCAGCCAATGATTCAACTTGGCGGGTTCTAGCAAATAGGCGTTGGGCCATATTAGACACAGAACCTGCACACTGAACACTGAAGAGCCAGAGAATCCTTAACAGCCAACTCATCAGACCGTTTGGAAAGTAGTCTGTTATCTTTGGGAGTGAGAAGGTTCCTGGCCACCACCGCAGCGGTCATATCATTCTTCATCACGGAATCCCCAACGGTAAGAGAAACCAGTAGGGGATATGAAGGATGGGCGCCATATGTTGTCTGGAGAAGGCGTGGCTGCCTCTTCAACCAAGGTTCAAGTCAAAACGACGGTCGGAGGGGCCAGACATTTTCAAAGGTGTGTTGAAGAGAGAAGAGGTCGAGACAAATCAAGATCTTAGAAGTGCAAGAAATGAGCTTCTACTAGTGGAGATTCAAGTGTGCTTTGGAACTTAATGTCAGCCTCTATAAAAATCTGCACTCGACGGAGCTTCAGAAATCGAAGAGGCGCCTGCTCAGAAATCGAAGAGGCGTTTGCTTTCTCAAAAGTTGGGCTGCTCAGAGACCACGAGGGCCGATCTCAGAAATTGAAGACGCGTTTTCTTTCTCAAAAGTTGGGCTGCTCAGAGACCACGAGGGCCGATCTCAGAAATTGAAGAGGCACCTGCTTTTTCAACCTCGTCAGCACCTGTCACATGCACACTCAGCTTTGCGGAAATTACGGATAATCTGTCGAAATTTTTTGGTGAAGTAGAAAACACATGAATCTTACTGTTCAATCACCACTCTCTACATGCAACATCAGCTTTCCAGATACCACATACCACTTTTTCAAAGTACTCTGACAAAGTTAAAACACGTGAAGCTGGCAGCTTCCACTACATTGCTATGACCAAAAAGGGTAAAGGAATAGCATTACTACTTGCTTATTGGGAAATTCCCTATATACATTCGACCTCCCTCCTCAACGGACAGGCAAACCTGCAAAAATGCTCAACCCTTTCTCGCATTCGAGAAAGGCACCCTCAACATAACCTCTCGAAATACTCAGCTTTATTTCCCCCAGATAATACCTCAGCAAATAAGCCACACCAAGAACAAGAGTATCTCATATCATCAGGGTCAAAAGCAAGAGTATCCTATATCATTCTTTCTCCCTGTTCTTGTCTTTGTCCTTGTCCACACCTGCAGGACAAGGAGAAAAAGAGCAGTCAGTCGGAACCTGAAATCAAACCTCCACTCTGGAACTGACTGCTTGGGACCTTTTGCCTGGTTGCTTACTTAGCATTGCTCTCGAGTACTCATCCTCAACTGATGTCAAGGTCATGAATTCCTCCGGCAAATACCTCATGACAGTTGATCAGATATTGGCTCTTTACACTGAAGTTGCCAAGCGTAGATGAGTCACTATGAATGAATGTTCTGAAGGACCATTTAAATGCAAAGGTTGCACACCACTTCTGCCATGCAAAAGATTGAAGCAAAGAGTTCAACGATGAGCTGAAACAGATCACTATAGCACGACACCTTTCCATACCACATTCATTATTCTCGTCAACAGCAAAAGTATCCCATATCATCAAGGTCGAACGTACTCTAGATTTGATGGACTTGTTTTGACCCTCAAATTCTTGAGTCGACTTACTAAGGCGTCGTGAACTGCACGTACCGATTCACCACTCTTGAATCAAATCCTTAAAGATCAAGCCACCAACGGTCCTTGAATATATCATAAGCCCGATTCAAGATCAAGTGTCCACCACCCTCAATCAAATCCAGCCTAGTTCAAGAATAAGAAAAGCAAAAGTATTTCATATCATCTCTTCTCCATTTGCTTCTCCTTATCCTTGGTGCTATTTGACGAGACAAAGGAGAATGAGAACAATCAACCGAAGCCGAAGTCGAAACCTCTGATCCTGGGTTGCTTGCTTGGAAGTTTGACTGCTTACCTTGTCTGTCACCTCTTTCGGCAGAAATCTCCTAGCTCGGCGACTTGGGGGACTTCTACTATAGGGTTTGTATCGCACTTGACCAAGCCCGAAACTACAAGTAAGCTTCAAGTGAAATTGATACATTACCTTGTGCATCAATTCATCAGCTAAAGATACACCATTCCCGGATGGAGGAAAAGTACTTCCAGAGAAGATGCCACATCTACAAATGAGACAGATAAGGTAAGTGAAGACGATACCACACCTCGGTACTTAGAAGTTTCGTGATTACTCAGCGGCTTGGATCTTGCAAGTCCCCAACCGAGGAGTTTCCCTCACTCGGGAACTTAGGGGAGCACTGTTTGTACCATACTTGACCAATCCCGAAACTACTGCGCACCGGTCAACGTTATACTGTCAAGGACCTAGAAGAGCTTCCCTTCAACCAGGAGGCCAATCACAATGCGACACGTGTCGACATTATAAGCCAATCACAGCGCGACACGTGTCAACATCAGAAGCCAATCACAACACGACACGTGTTAATGTCAGAACAAAACTAGAAACTCTCTTCTATAAATAGGGATCATTCTCCCACAATAATCTCTAATGTCATTTTGTACTAAACTATTCACTAGAACTCACAAAAGGAGAGCTTGAACCTATGTATTTGTGTAAACCCTTCACAATTAATGAGAACTCCTCTACTCCGTGGATGTAGCCAATCTGGGTGAACAACTTATATCTTGTGTTTGCTTCTCTGTCTCTATTCATTTACATACTTATCCTCACTAGTGACCGAAGTAACCAAGCGAAGGTCACAAAACCTGACACTTTCTGTTGTACCAAAGTCCTCACTGATTTTGTGCATCAACAACACACAAATAACTGAATTGGGTTTCTTCAAAGCAAGCCATTTGATGCACTCGTGTTGTTCTTCAATGGAGCTTTTGTTCTCTTTAACCAGCTTCTCATTGACTAGATAAAGTGGGCCCACATGCCAAGCTATGATCCCCAAATCATTTCTGTAGTGATCAGCATAAGCAGCTTCGAGCTCATAGAAGCTATTTACCAGAACCCCATGGCTCTGTTTCTGCGCTTTCACACCTTCTAACAACTTCGAAAACACGTTTTCTTCCCCGTTTGTAACAAAATCCGATAGCTTTTTTCTTGTTAGCTTAATCGCACCTGGTAAGATGGGGATCACGAAGTGGTCCGCATCCGATGAGACGTACAGGTGAGGCTTGTACAGGTGCACGCATAGGATAGCACACAATGGGAAATAACCGATTCCTTGGAATAGGAGCACCGGAACACCAAATTCAGAACCCAAGTCGGTAGCCCAAGGGAAGAACATGTCGGCCATAAGGCAGTTGGGTTTCTTATGCTGCAAGAACTGCTCAATCTGCGGACCAAGCAAGCCGGTTGCTGTAAAAAATTGTAAATGCATTTCTGGGGTGGTGGCACAGTGCAAGCTCTGGCAATTTTCAGGCAATCCAACATCTGCAGTCGGGACTCTGATTGTGAATATTTGTATTTGTGAACTAGAATAATTTTGAAGTTCGCTTTGAATGGAGGGTGCATCTGGAGAGGTGGTGATTATGGTTGCTTTGAGACCTCTGGAGACAAATAGTTTGGCCAAGTCCATGAAGGGGATTATGTGGCCTTGAGCCATGAAAGGGAAGAAAGCAATGTGAAGCTCTTGGTTTTTGGTTCCCATGGTGGTTCTGAGCTCTTGACTTATGAGACCTACCAGTACAAGCAGTGGCGAAGCCAGGATTTGGCTCGGGGAGGGGCGAAATGCAAAAGAGTGCAAAATTCAATCGAAGCGGTTGCTTTTACATTGAAAAGTACAAAGTTTTGAGTCAATATTCATAGCAGAAAACAATCTCTCCACCAAAGCGGTTATATCAAAGCCAATATAAACAGCTTAAACTGGTTAGGATTAGATTCGAAAAAATGTTAGGCGCTAGTCAGGCAGCAGAGTGGGGCCAATCAACTATGCGCCTAGGCGAGATTTAGGCAGGAGCTTAGATGAATTCAAATTATTGTAAAATACGCATTAAACAATATTTACATTATTTTTTAAAAAGTATACAATATTTATAGATAATGTGATAGTTTAAGATAAATATGGTGGGGGTGTTTGAAGAGAAAACAAAAATACATACAAGAATATAAAAAATTAAAAAAAAAAAAGAAAGAGAGAAATGGGCAAAGTGGGGTTAGAAGAGAAAAAAAAGGGGGTGGGGGGATGGGAAAACAAACAAGTGGGGCAGAAAGGTAAAGACTAGAAGAGAAGTGGTGGGTCAGGGTCAGTACAATGTTTTAAGAGAGAAAAAATGTAAACAAATGATCAGCATAATGAAATCGATTTTTTTTTCTTTTTTTTTTTTCCAAATGACACCGTTTTGTACAGGGAATATCAAACTCATAATCCTTCATCTTCTTCCCAAGTTCACCGCTCTGCAACCAGTGGCGGATTTAGGATTTTAACATCGGGTGGTCCTAATATAAAGCACCAGAAAAATTAAACGAAAGCAACATTGAATAATTAAACAATGAATTATAGTTTTTCATTCATAATATTTGTACAAACAACATAGAAGCTACAAGGACTAAATTTATCCACGACCAGATTATACTTGGAAACGTGTGATGATAATTTTATTGTCAATACAAGAAAATAACAACAAAATTATCATTTAACCATTGAATCTCCATTTTATTGCAGAGTGAACTCTTAATGATATTTATGGCGGGAAATACTTTCCACCCAAACACTTACTTAAATTTTGGAAATGAGGGGATTATTAGGTTGTGTAGAAAAGAAACAAAATTAGAATTTGATAAATTGAATAGTTAATTAGGAAGTGGACCGTATAAAGCACAACACGTGGCTTTTTTGAAATTTTTTAATAACAAATGTTAAGGCTTTCAGCCTCCCACATAGCTTGGGAGAGTGCTTTCAAACCTATACCAAAAGCACACCGTTTTGCTTAAATGGTTAGCCTCCTTCTTCGTCTTCTTTTTCTTTTTCGGGTTTGCAGACAGCCATAACACAGCAGCCGCCGCTGCTCTTTCCCTCTATCACATACCTAGACTTGGATGGTCCATGGAGGTCTCACAGCCATTGATCTAAACTTCCGGTTGGTCCCGGGACCACCCAGATCCCTTAATAGATCCGTCCCACCGGAGCGGGAATTGTCATTTCCGACAAGAGCAAAGGGGCCGAACCAGCGCTCCTAGGCGTGTTTTCCGGCAAGGGGAGGGGCGGCCGCCACTTCTCGCCCTCCCGTAGCTTCGCCACTAAGTACAAGTGGATATTAGTTGTCTTTGATAGTTGCATGGGAGGGAGCATTTTTCATTCCAAACATTTGAATAAGGGACAATGATTGTCTGCCCTCCCACTTTTGGTGCCCTCCTGCTTTGTGTGGCCACAGTTAAGCCAATGATAAAATGTTGACGTGGCTTAACCGTGACCACACAAACAGGAAGTCACGGGAGGGCACCGGAAGTGAGAGGGCAGACAATCCTTGTCCTTGAATAAGACACCAGACACAAACGAGCGGTACCAAAATACAATGAGGTGTCCGTTTGTCCGTGTCTAAATTTTTTATTAGAGTAATGTTAGGAGACTAAATTAACAAACCAAATTATGTGTGATGAATAGAAGATGAGCACGTTTATCAACGATTAAGTAATAATCCATTCACCAACTTCTAAGTTATATAGCTTACAAAATTTAGCCTACAAATTTAATCTTCCTAGTATTACTCTTTTTGTTATCTACAAGAAGACTGATGTACGAGTGTTTCAGTTATTTTCGAACACTTGACAAGTTTTCAACTATCTACAAGACTACAAGATAAAGTGATGCCTCTACAAGAGTACTTTTAGTTCTTTTTTTTTTCAGTTTTTTTTTTTTTTGAAGATAAATTTTTTGTTTTTTTCGACAAATAAAAAAGAAAAAAAAATTGTTTTGTTTTCAGTTTTCATTTGACATGGCCCTTGGTTGAATAGTGGAATTTCTGGAGTCATGCTTACTGGAGCTGGCCAAACAAAAAAAAATAAAAAAAATAAAAATAAAAAAGGAGTATTATTCATTGGTGGACAGAGCCTGCAGCTTTTGTCCAGACTGGTAAATCTCTAATCTCTAATATTAGAAAGCCAGAAGTGAATTTTGATGTCTCAAAACTTCAATAAAAATAATTGGCCGTAAAAGCCCCTTAAACAAAAAAACTTAACTCATGCAATGTTGTAAACATTCCTAGTTTAAGTGTGATTGTGTAAATCCTAGATTAGATTTGATTCTAGTTATCCTTTCCTATTGTATCTTGTATTCCTTGGGGATGAAGGAATATCTTATCTCCTTTTACTACTATAAATAAAGGCACAATGTAGGAGGGATAACAACACACACATTCCCCTACAATTCTACAAACACATCCCTCTCTTTGCTCCTTGCCGCTGGCCACCCTAAACTTGTCAGATAAAATAGACCACAATACGTTATCAGCACGCTCCTACCGCTGCGCTTAGGAATCTGACGTTGAAGATTTTTTCTGCATCAAACCAGTTCATCCATATCATCACGGAATCAGGTTCTTTCAAAACAACGGTTTTTAACTCAATATTTTTGGAGCCCTGATAGCATAAAGATTCACCCTGATGCATGACCCAACTTTACGTTTTACGTATTTTAGATTCTACATAAATTGTGTATGCCTCATAACCATAATTGTTGAAATTATGTGAATTTGATATTTACTATGAATTGAATCAAATATATTTGTATATGCATCAAATTGAATTCAATTAACATTTTATTGTTTTGAATATGCGTATAATTGAAAAAAAAAATTGCGATTAGGACAGTTAGGGTTCTTTGAACCCGTGTCTTGCCCTACCCCATTCATGGTGATGGGCCACACCATGCAAATATAGTTGAGCACCTTGGGCTCCTATTGTCTCCCATGTGCTGCCAAGCTTGCAGCTTGTGCCAAGCCGAAACCACTGGGCTTGGCCCTTTGTCTGCCCCAAGTCACTGGGCTTGGCCCCTCTTTTTTTTGGCATACTACTCCAGCCTGTTGGGCTTTGGAGCTCCCTCGGCCCAAATAGTTTCTCATGGCCCACATAATAAAATAATAATAATAATAATAAAATAAAATAAAATAAAAGACTTTTTTTTAGTTTTTTTTTTTCTGCTTGTAGCAGCCCAATCCCTGCCCAGTACTCACTGTGGGCCTGCAACCCTACCCGAGACCCCCAGCCCAATTCTTGGGCCTGGGATACACGACACATTTTTTTTAGCCACCCGTGGCTTCATTTTTTTTTGGGCCCCGAATTTTATTTGCCTAATTATTTTAGGCCCATTGGGTTTTATATTTTTTCATCCACACTTTAATTTGGCCCAAAGTCCAAATAATTAAAATTCAATTATAATTGTAAACCTAAAATTATATGTTTGCATATTCTTGTTGCATATTTGTTTGCATATATATATATTTGTATTTGCCTGGAAGAATATATGAACCTAAAGTTCATAATTATTTTGAAACCTGAAGTTTCTTATAAACATGCCTTGTTTGAAAACATGAAGTTTTCATGTCTATTAGAACCTGTATGTTCTACTCTTACGTGAATGGATTGATTTTTCTCCATTAACCACATCTTGTCCATCTTTTTTGTGATAGGAACATGTCAAATTTGAATAAACTCGATTTCACCGCTTTAGAGGTCTCTGGAAGGAACTACCTCAAGTAGGTCCAAGATGTGAAGCTCCACCTCACTGCAAAGAACTTGCGTCCTGCCATTGAGGAAGCAACGGACGAGCCTATTGGCGAAGTTGAAAAAGCCACTGCTATGATCTTTATCCAAAGACATATTCATGACGCTCTGCAAACTGAATATCTTGCTGAGGAGGATCCACGTGCACTCTGGGTCGCTTTGGCTGATCGCTTTGATCACCAAAAGGACATATTCTTACCTGAAGCAAGACACGACTAGCAGTATTTGCGCTTCCAAGACTTTAAGTCTGTGAATGAATATAATTCTGAAGTTTGTTGAATCCGATCACTTCTCAAGTTTTGCAATGAAACTTTGACTGAAAAGGATCTCCTGGAGAAGACCTATTCGACCTTCTCTGCTTCTAATATTGTCATGCAGCAACAATATAGAGCTTAGAAGTTCACTAAGTTCTCAGATTTGATCTCTGTTTTACTTCTCGCTGAAAAGCAAAACCAACTGTGATAAAGAATCATCAAGCTCGATCTACTGGGGCGACTGTTGTTCCTTAAGCACATTATAACAATAACCAACGCCCAAAACGCCAAAGGGGGCGTGGTAGGGGCGGCCAGAAGCCATCCCACCAAGGTCAACAGAGTCAAGGTCTATCCAAAGGAGGAAACAAAGCCCAGAAGTGCCCAAACCTCGCTCCCAAGGCTTCGAACTTGAAGAATAAAGGCAAAGCACCTGAAACCATGGATGCAGACATGTGCTATTGCTGTGGTTCAAATGACCATTGGTCTCGTATTTGCCGAGCTCCCAAGAAGGTTGTAGATGAATATCATTCTAGTCGTAAGAAGTTTGAATCAAACTTCATGCAAGTGGACGAACTAGAGGTTACAAAGATGGAGGTTTCTGATTTTCAGGCGGATACCACCCCTATGGAAGATTGGAATCTTAGACATAGACTTATTTTTAAGTTGAAATAAGACAATTAGGGCCGAATTCCACCTAGTGGCCGAACTCCTCCTTTGTTTTTGGTTGATTTTTCAATAATTTTCCTTTATATTTGGATTATTAGTTGGTGATTTGTTTTAGATATTAAGTTTTTAATCCTTGATTAATAAAAAGTATTTTGAATTGATCATTTTTTTTATAAACTTTTATGCATGTGACAGATTCAAATTAATTTTTCATTATAGGTATGACTAGTGGGAAAGTTAGTTGTCTGGCAGATAGTGCAACCACACACACAGTTTTGCATGAACGCATCTATTTCACTAACTTTATACCTAAGAATGCACCTCTGACAACCCTCTCAAGCCCATCCAACTTGATAGAAGGATACGGTAAGGCACGTATCATGTTGTCAAATGGTACAATCTTGACCATTTCTAAGGCACTCTATTCTCCACGTTCTGGAAGAACGTTGTTAAGTTTCAAGGACATTGGAGATAACAATTACTACGCTGAAACCCACATAGAAAACGGAGTTGAATTTCTGTGCATAACTTCCTACGAATATGGCCAAAAGCATATTCTAGAGAAGATGGAGCATATCTCGAGTGGTCTGTATACTACAACAATACGCCCCATTGAATGCCACTATGTGGCCAACCCTACTATTAGGACCGCACACGAAATTACACTTTGGCATGATCGTTTGGGACACCCTGGATGGATAGCGATGTGCCGTATCCTCAAATCCTCACACGGTCATCCACTAACTCGAAGTTTAGGTTCGATCCAAGGAATCGCATGTCAAACATGTTCGATGGGAAAGCGTATTACTAAGCCTTCTTATGACAAGATTTGTTCGAATCCTCCCATTTTTCTACAACGGATTCAGGGGGACATTTGTGGACCGATTCACCCTCCCTGCACACCATTTAGATACTTTATGGTTTTGGTTAATGCTTCTACACGTTGGTCACACGTGTGTTTGTTGTCCAGAAGGAACACTGCATTCTCCAAACTGTTGGCTCAGGTTATCAAGCTTAGGGCTCACCACCCTGATTATCCGATCAAATCTATTCGATTGGATAATGTTGGAGAATTCACATCTAAAACATTAGAACAGCTTGGCAGAGGCTTTCATTAAGCGCTTAAAAATGATTGCTCGATCGTTGGTCATACGTACCAAGCTCCCGATCACTGCTTAGGGCCATGCAATATTGCACACAACAAAGTTGGTCTGCCTGAGGACTATTGCGACACAACCATTTAGTGCCCTTCAGTTGGTTACCGAATACGAACCCGACATATCGCATCTGCGCATTTTTGGTTGTGCGGTATATGTGCCGATCTCGCCGCCCTTACGTACAAAAATGGGGCCTCGACGAAGGATGGGAATCTATGTCGGATATGATTCTCTTTCGATTATTCGTTACTTAGAACCTTTGACAGGCTATCTATTTACCACTCGTTTCGTTGATTGTCACTTCTATGAGACAGTCTTCCCGTTGTTAGGGGGAGATAAGAACGCCAACGTTCCTGAAGAACGACACGAATTCTTGGATGACTCCCACTTTGTCTCATTTAGATCCCCGCACCGCTCAATCTGAAACTAAAGTGCAACGGGTATTAGATCTCTAGAGCATAGCTCAGAGCATGCCAGATGCTTTCACCGATCTAGCGCGCGTGATAAAATCACATATTCCATCTACGAATACGCCTGCAAAGATGGATGTACCAAATGTACGACAGACTGCCCTCCTAGAAGCCCGGGAAACCAATTTTGGTGATCCACGTACATTAGCGGCTAACCAATCATCTGCCCCTACACAAAAGCATGGCAGACCCCTTGGTTCAAAGGATTCATAACCTCAGAAGTGGACAACCCAGGCACAAGGTCATGAAGAGCCTATCGTGAATCCGACTATCGCTTATTTATTCTACCCAACTCATGAGGAAATTCTAGATTATGGAAGCGTCCTTGAAGAGACGAATCCTCTTCCCTAGAATCGTGAGATTTCAGTCTATTATGCTAGCTTAGATGATGTGTGGCGTAGAAATGAGATGATTGTCGACGATGCATTAGCATTTGTAGTAGCTACTGAGATCATGTTGAGCGATGACATTGAACCGCGTTCCGTTGATTAATGTCGACGTAGAACTAATTGGTCAAACTTAAAACAAGCAATCCAAGTCTAACTCGATTCGCTTGCGAAACGTAAGGTGTTTGGACCTGTAGCTCATACTCCACATGTGAAGCCCGTTGGCTACAAGTGGGTTTTCGTTCGGAAGCGTAATGAGAAGAACAAAATTATGCGTTACAAAGCTCATCTTGTTGCACAATGCTTCTCACAAAGCCCCAGGATTGACTATGAAGAAACTTATTCACCCGTTATGGATGTGATTACTTTTTGCTACCTTATCAGTTTGGTAGTTTCTGAAAAACTGGATATGCAGCTGATTGATGTAGTAACCGTGCATCGCTATGGCAATCTTGATACGAAAATCTATATGAAAGTTCCCGAAGGACTTACATTGACTGGTTCAAATATTTCCAAACCCCGAAATACACTCTTAATTCGGCTGAGGCGTTCACTCTACGGTTTGAAACAATCTGGAAGAATGTGGTATAACTGTCTGAGTGAGTATTTGACTAGTCAGGGATATGTGAACAATGAACTATGCCCTTGTGTGTTCATTAAGAAGTCACATTCCGGATTTGCGATTGTTGCAGTATATGTCGATGACATGAACCTTATCGAAACTCCTGAAGAGCTCGCGAAAACTACCGCACACCTAAAGTCGGAATTTAAGATGAAAGATCTAGGTAAGACTCGATAATGTCTCGATCTCGAGATAAAGCATTGTTCGAATGGAATTCTAGTACATCAATCGAACTACACCCAGAAGGTGTTGCACCGTTTAATGAGGATAAAGTGCAAAATGAGATCCCTTTCGTCCGAAGGAGGATGATGAAGAGATTCTGGAACCTGAAGTTCCTTATCTAAGTGCGATAGGCGCTTTATTATACTTGGCTCAATGCACTATACCCGATATCTCCTTCGCTGTTAATCTTTTGGCAAGATACAGTAATGCACATACACACAGACACTGGACTGGCTTGAAAGACATATTATGTTACATTAAGTGTACTACGGATTTGGGCTTGTTCTATCCCTATTAATCCTCGAATGGTGCCGCACCCCTATGCTTCTCGAGTTGATTCTCGCCTTGTTGGTTATGCCGAAACAGGATACTTATCTGATCCGCACAAGGCACGCTCTCAAATAGGTAATGTCTTTACTGTTAGAGGCACCGCAATATCTTGGAGGTCAACTAAACAGACCTTAGTTGCCACTTCATCTAACCATGCTAAAATTCTCGCCTTACATGAAGCAACTTGGGAATGCTTTTGGTTGAGAGCAGTAATGGCCCATATTCGAAGCTCCTGCGGTCTTCATCCCATCATTGATGTCTCAATGACGATCTTTGAAGACAACGCAGCTTGTATCGAACAACTCAAGAAGGGTTACATCAAAGGAGACAACACCAAGCACATTGCGTTGAAGTTTTTCTTTTCATATCAACAACAAGAGCATCAAAAGATTAAAGTCACGCAAATCCATTCACAAGACAATCTGGCCGATCTTTTCACCAAATCATTGCCGAAGACAACATTTCAAATGCTTGTTCATGGAATTGGTATGCGTAAACTTTCTGAGTTGTAACTTTGCTATTTCTCTTTGGAATTATTTCAAACTCAGAGGGAGTATCATGTAGATACTTGCTTGATCTTAATGTACTCTTTTTCCTTACGATTTGGAGCATTTTTCCCACTGGATTTTTGCTACCTAACTAGGTTTTAATGAGGCACCCACCTTGGGTTGGTCATATCCCTAATGACGTCCTGTAGACGTTTCTTTGATTTTTTCATTTCTCACGCATTTTCCTTAGACTATGATTTTGTCCCTCCTCGGGTTTTTGCAATAGCCTTAGGGTTTTTTAGTGAGACTTACTACTTATGTAAGTTCCTACCTTATTGAGAATAAGCGTTGTTCCTTAGAATCAGTGCCGATGAGTCAACTTCCTCAACTTCTACATGATGCTAAATGTACCTTGAGTATTTACACACTCAAGGGGGAGTGTTGTAAACATTCCTAGTTTAAGTGTGATTGTGTAAATCCAAGATTAGATTTGATTCTAGTTATCTTTTCCTATTGTATCTTGTATTCCTTGGGGATGAAGGAATATCTTCTCTCCTTTTACTTCTATAAATAAAGGCACAATGTAGGAGGGATAACAACACACACATTCCCTTACAATTCTACAAACACATCTCTCTCTTTTGATAAGGGATAAGGGATAGATTTGTCCAAATAAAAAAAGACCACAACATGCAATAAATTATAAAGAAATTTGATAAGGGATAGATTTGTCCAAATAAAAAAAGTGATAATATGATCAAATAGAAAATAAAGAAGAAAAACAAATGATAAATACAACTACCTCAGATACAAAAGCTACGTGGAATTTATGAATACTTTAGGATGGTTATTTTTCTCAAACTAAAAGGTAAAATCTCCATTAATTAATGAAACCCTTTCTGTTAATCAAAAGACTACTTAGTCGTCTATCACATAAACAAATGATGGGCAATAATGTCATTTCACAGGTCCAAATTTTACTATTTTTTATCGAAGCCTCACCTACAGGTGATGTTAAAATACCTTCAATATTTAAAAAAAAAAAAACCGAAAAAAAAACCTCTGACTCCCCACGTTCTATCACTCTCCCTCTCTCCTTCTCATTTTTCTAAAAAATGTTCATACACACAAAGTGTGTAGGCAAATGCTATATATAATAAATAAAAGAGAAAAAAAAAAGGAAAAAAATTGAATGTGGGATTCAAACCTCAACGTTTCCTTCGCACGCATAGCATTGCCTTTTCCCCCAACTTCCCACTCCCACATTAGTATTTCCTCTACGTCTCTAACTTTGCAAACATAGTTGAACTGTTACAAAGAGGAAATAAACCGTCAGCAAAAAAACAGTTATATCTGGCCTCATAAACTCGACTAGAAGCTTTCAAGAGAAGAGTAGTGGTTTTGGAATTTTTTTAAATTTTAATTTTAGATTTACTTCTGAATTCATAAGTAAATAATTACTTTTTATTTTTGTTTTGGTTCTCCCAATCGCTCCTACAGTGGTAATTTATTGTGGAGCCTAAAATAATCCCAAAAATTCTAGAGGCGACACATGGACTTTTATTCAAGAAAGACAAGATTGCCCTCAGTAGATGGGTAGGCTTCTCAGATGCTACCACGCGCAGCTCACATCCCTGGAGGACTCTGTAGCTAAACACAACTACCCACAGCTCACCTGCCATTGGCAAGGAATTAAAGATAAGGATTAATTAGCCAAATCCTATCTTTAATACATTCCCAATTGAAGGTTGACTCCAATCAAGTAAGTAATCCTAATTTAAATCAATTAGGGATAATTACTCCATTATCTCAAAATATTATTTCCTATTAAATATCTTGAGAATATTTAGAGAATATCTCTCCATTAAACACTATATGGCCGGCCCTATCCCTATAAATACCCCATATTCTACCAAATTTTCAGAGCTTTTGCAACCCTAAAAAAGCCCTAAACACTTTACTCTCTCAGAGCAACTAACTTACCCATCAAAGATCCGTTGACCTAACCCCCTCTACCTCGTGGCCGCGTGAGGCTTAGGTCTCTAATCAAAGGTGTTGATTGTTTTGCAGGTGCATTTTTGTCAAGACTGAAGACGGCAAAAATTTGCATTGACAAATTGGTGCTTTCATTGAGAGCTGATTCAAAATACTTGAAGAAGCATCTCGCATTTGTCTCTTGAATTTTCTATTACGTTGAATTTCGAACACGTCGCATCAATTAATTTTTTCTAGAAAAGTTTCTTGATCAAATCTTAGAGAAAGGATACAATGGTAGGAAATTCAAAAACTACGACGAACGGAACCCCGTAGTGCAAGGATTTGGACCGAATAGTGGAGACGAGGACATAGCCCCACGATGGTGGTCATCAAGGCTCAACGTGACGGCAGGAGAAGCCCCACCACCGCGGAGCTGCGCCACAACCATCACCACTGTGACCCAACAGCCACAACAAGGCCACCAGGCCATGGCACAACTCCCACTGTCGTTGCCCTTGTAGTGCCGCACCCAACCAAACCCTTGGCAGGAGGCCCAGGTCCATTTCCAAGCCCATGGGCAGGAGGCCCAAAACTTGGCAACTGCCATAGCAGGCCCAAGGCAGGAGGCCCAGGTAATTGCAACTGCAGGCCTAAACCCGAGCCTAGAACGCGACAGCACAACGGGCCTATGCCAAGCCACCCAGCAAGCATGCCATGATGTGGTAGCCTAACGGCCAGAAGGCCCATGGCCATACAGGCTCAAGGTGAGCAGGCGCCAGTCCAACGAGCCTCGTGACTCGGCCCGCGGCCTAATCCATTCCAAGGCCACCTCCAGCGATCCAGATTTCGACCACAGGTCCTTCGATCGATTCAGGGTTACTTTAACCTGACTTTTCTACAAGAATGCTCGCTTTGGGCTCAAGTTTTATACATGTAGTCCACTATACTTCCACCACGCATGGAGACACCCACTATCCAAATTCTTCCAATCCAAATGGCGAGCACCACCTACCCCAGCTGGTTACTAATTTGACGAACGCCCTCGTGCAGTAGACCACCTTAGTGAACCAACTCCTCAAGCGCATCAAGATGCAGTACGCCCCAGACGAGGTATCCTGAAGCAGGATAAGCACTCAAGACATTCCGGGAGAAGCATCCACAAGAGGCTATGTCACATCCCAAAACTAGAGACGTGAGATTAAGAGAAATAACTAGAACAAAGCGATTGTTCAAGGGTGCAAAACAAATCTCATCTTAAGATTATGTCAACGAAAATTTAAATTCCACAATTCCATTAAATCAAACTACAAAAGTCAATTTAAAGAAATATAGTTAAAGATCTCATGGTAATACAAACTACAAAAGCAACCTGAACCGTAAAATTCACCGAAAATAGCTCGTTCAACCAAAACGAGTGAAAATTTGCATATCCAAAGTAGACACATGAAACTAAGTTGTGTCAAAATTTCATTGATTTTCGAGTTCGGGAAGTATAGGAAAATTTTAAAACTAAAACAGGCATGCTACTGTTTTCCTGTAAAAACAACTTCAGCATCACCAAATTACTTTGCAAAAAAAACTGTCTATATTCCAAAGAACAAAAATCTGAAATTTTGCAACATAACACTTAGGTAATAGATACACACCCACATTTTTACAGATAACCAAGTTCATAGTGGTTCTTCAAGAGCCATTCATAAAACCTTATAGATTATAATGAGTTCACAAAAGACCTTCAGGGCTTCTAACAAGAAAACATTTTTAGGCCATTTGAGGAAAATGTACATGAGCAAAACTATACAAGCCAAAAGAGGAGTAATTATATATACATGGTTTTCATAGCCCAGGTAAGTAGAATCTCCAACCCACCGAGGTCGACGTCATTTTAGTCTACTACACAACAAAAGGATCATTTACAAACAGAGACTAACTCTACAAACACTTTGGCAACTCACCCAAAAGAAGTGTACGTCTGGACTCCCTTCTACTAGCCCACACTAGAACTGCCACTTGAAAATCAACCAATCGACTCTACACACTTGAAAGTACATGTTTAGAAAAACGGGTGAGCATAAATTGCCTAGTGGGGGTTTTTCAGTAAGTCCGCAGTCATTTAAAATTTATGGTGCACACCAGAAAGTAATAAGAGTGATTCAAAACCATTTATGTTCATTACCACGAAAACCAACAATCTGAAATATGCTCTAAAAAAATGCTTGGAAGTAACATATGATAGAAAAACCAAAGTTTTAGAACATTAGTAGCTTTGATAACAACGATACAACACACAGGTTCAGAGTCACTTCCTTTTTCATAAGGATAACTGAGCCATTATCATTTAAAGAAACCCAAACACAACTAATCTCAAAGATTTTCCGTGATCCCCAAACAAATGACTAGCATATTGGAAAGAACTGTAGTAATACTTGGCCAATTTACATATCACACGTATTTATCACTTTTATAACTCATTCTCATAGCCCACACATGGAGCTCTCCCCAAGGAAACATTGGGTCATTGTGCCCAAAATCAACAACTTCACGGGTCATTGTGCCCATTCATACATTTCTCAACATTCACATATGCACAGGTATTATACTACTTTCCATCCACTTTCACAATTTGAACATTCGTATCAAGATGCTTCAAAATTCAACATTGAGTAAAACAAGAGGCATGCACATCAAAACAAAATCTTGAAAAATCATTTCAATCACTTTAAACTCACCAAAGTTGTAGCAACGGAATTCGAATCATTAAGATCAAACCATAGAGAAATATTTTCTTCACTTCTTTCACATAATCAAAAAAGAAAAACATTTTAAGTAAGCTTGCAATAATGCTCAAATGCCAACAATCCTTGATCAAGTAAAAATGAAAAACCAAAATATTTTATTTTTTATTAAAACTCCCCTACCTCAACACAATTTCTTGATATTCAACTCCCAGGGTGTTCGTCAACTTGTTCCGTAGTCACCTTGGCCTTCTCCTCCTTATCTATAAGTAAGAAAAATCATCATACACCACTTATACAAAATATCAGACAATGAACCCTAATTCAAGGTTAATTGGGGACTTTAATCAAACACTTGGTGCTCAACTCTAAAACTATAACATGAACTATGATACTTTCATGTTTCCTACTCCCACCCAAACTAATTCATGGGTTATCAAACCAAATAACAATTAGATCCCAAAGGTAAGAAATAGATACCTTAAATGGAGACAAAAGAAAGATCCTCACTTGTTCTAATCTTCACAAATAGAGGAAAAGAAAGCTAATTTCCTCCTCCTTAAATTTTCTTTTTGACAATTTCCCTTTCATTCCTTTCGGCTAGAAGGGAAAGCAGCAAATATGAGGGGGGTTTCTAGAAACCCCATCCCCTTTTATTCCCTTTTTCTAACGTCAACTTTCCCTTTTTTTTTTTTTTTTCCTTTTATATTCTTTTCATTTAGTTCTCTTTTCAAGCCAAAGCTTGGTCTCAAAAGTAAGAGAACTTTTAATGGCCACAAGTAATCCACTCTTAATCACCACCTAAAATTTTGGGGATATTACAATCCACCCTCCTTAAAATAAATTTCATCCTTGAAATTTGTATAGAGCAAGTACCTTAATTTTGGAATAGATGTGGGTGTTTCCCAAGCATCTCAGACTCAACTTCCCAAGTGGCATCTTCAATCCCGTGATGCTTCCAAAGAACTTTGACTAGAGGAATTACCCGATTTCTCAAGGTATTTTCTCTTGAAGTGGTACCTCATCCCATTCTATCACTTGGGCTGCATTGGGTTGACTCTTCCGTAGCATCGACACATGGAATACATTGTGCACATGTGCTAGCGAAGAAGGTAAGGCAAGTTCGTAGACAACTTCGCCAACTCGTTTTACTACTTCGAAAGAACCAATATATCTTGGAGCTAATTTTCCACTCTTTCCAAATCTTGAAACTCCCTTGCGAGGACTGATTTTCAAGAGAACAAAATCACCAACTTGGAATTCCAGCGGTCTCCGTCTTCGGTCAGCATAGCTCTTTTGTCTACTTTGAGCAGATTGTAACCTATCTTTAATAATCTTGATCTTCTCACAAGTTTCTTGAATTAATTCAGGCCCAAGAAGAGTTAAATCTTCCACTTTTGCCCAACATAACGGAGATTGACATGGTCTCCCATACAAAGCCTCAAAAGGAGCCATGCCTATACTTGACTGATAACTATTATTGTACGAAAATTCTACCAAAGGCAGGTAATCACACTAGTTACCTTTAAAATCTAAGACACAAGCTCTGAGCATATCTTCAAGTATCTGGATGAGTCTCTCAGACTGTCCATCCGTTTGAGGATGGTATGCGGTACTAAACCGTAGTTTTGTTCCCAACGCGTTGTGCAAGCTTTTCCAAAATTGAGACGTGAACTGAGGATCTTTATCAGATATTATTGATAAAGGAATTCCATGCAATTTAATGATTTCCTTTATGTAGAGATCACTCAAGGTTGATAAAGAATATGTAGTTTTCACTGGAAGGAAATGGGCAGATTTTGTTAATCTGTCAACAATCACCCAAATAGAATCATACCGTTTCTTAGACTTTGGCAAACCACTCACGAAATCCATGGTGACATTGTCCCACTTCCACTAAAAAACAAGTAGTGATTGTAGAGGTCCAACGGGTTTTTGATGTTCTGCCTTAACTTGTTGATACACCGTGCAGTTGGCCACAAATTGAGCCACATCTTTCTTCATACCTTTCCACCAGAAATGTCTTCTCAAATCTCTGTACATTTTAGTACTTCCTGGATGAATAGAGTGCCACGATCGATGCGCTTCATTCAATACTTCCTCTTTTAATTGTGGATTGTTCGGGACAACCAACCAACCTTGGAATCTAAGCCCTCCATCAAAGTGCATGCTCCACCTATCAACTTCTTCACCCCTTCGAAGCTGGGCAAGCACATCCTTTAGCGCCTCATCATGTATTTGGTTTTGGACCAAGTTGTGAATTAGTGTAGGCCTCACTACTACACCAAAAACATATGCAGTTTGAGTAATACTGCAGAGAGCCAAATTGAAATCGGCAACCATACAACCTCTCTCCCACTCCTCTAGCATTAAACATGCAGCAACATCACCTCTTTTAAACTTAATATTCTTTGATTCTTGATTGTTGACGCCTAATTAAAATTTATTATGATGAGTTAAATTAGGTGATGAGAGAATACAAATACACAAATATTGAAAAGTTATACATGGGAAAACGGAGATGAAAAATGGTGGATATAGCGAGTGGTTAAAAAGTAAAAACGAAAAGAAGAATACGATCAAAAGGCCAAAACTATTTTCAGTCACCGTCTACAGTTGTAGGTTTAGCTTACAGATAGCAATTAGTTAAGAAAATAGAAATAGGATAATTTAGTCTCGGTAGTGATCTTGTAATTTGATCCAATTTGTCAAATTCTCTAAATCTTCATAATAATAACCAGTGTTCTAAAAAACGGCCTAGGCGGCCGCCTAGGCACTGGACGGTGGTGACCCGAGGCGTTTTTTTGCAAATCGATTGGAAAAATTGGATGGGCTCTAGGCGGTGCTAGGCGGCCTAGGTGGTTCCTCACCCTCATACATAAAAATAAAATAAAAAATAAAAAAGAGAGCATGTGTTAGTCTTCTTATCTTTTTCTGTCTCAAATCATCAAATGGACACATTCAACAATGGCAAGGGCGATGCTTACCTCTGTGGGAAGATTGGAGCTTCAATGTGCCACCATTTCCATGGTAGGACTCGCTGGTTTTGGTTTTTGCAGAGAAGATTGACTATTGTGAGCGGCTAAAGGTGAGTGGGTGTTTTGAAATGAGAGAGGATGGTCAAGCATTAGAGCTAAAATGGTAGATGAGGAGCGGCTAGGGTTCTTCATTATAGGGAAATGAGAGCTATTTATTTATTTTTATCTTAAGGAGAGAGAGGTCTAAGAGAAATGGGAGAGGGGGCCGAGTGAAATGAGAGGGGTCTTGCTATTATTGAGAGAGATCTCTCATATTCTAGAGAGAGAGGCCTAGGATTTCTTAAAAACAATCTGAAATGAGAGAAATAGGGGCACATCTTAGCCTTTATTTTGGAATCTTAAGAAGTTCACCACATGGATGCATGACATGTGGCATGCCATGTCTGTTGAAAGGGACATTCTGACATAGAGAGACATAGAGCCGTTTGGGGCTCTAGGCTCAAGGCAAGACAGAGAGTGTTGCAAATGCTAGGGTTTTTTTTTTTTCACTAGTATGGACTTGGACGTGTTGGTCAGCGCGTCCTTACAAGCGCCCAGGTCTCCAGTTCGAACCTTGCGCCCAGGTATTGATTTCCAATCCAGGTGAGCCATTTCCTTTTTCTTCTTTTCTTTTTGTTTTATTATTTGATTATTTTAATTTATTTGTTTATTTTATATTTTTCCTTTCTTTTAGTTTCTTTATCTTAGGCGTTCGTTTTTATTAAACTAGGACATAAAATCAATTATCTTAAATTTTTGTTTTACAATAATTAATTAGAATTTGGTTTGCTTTGCATTATTTAATAATCCTTGTGAAGAACGATCTTGCGAGATCTGTTTATCCTACAATACTCCTTACTATGGTTATATGACATATATGCTTAATGTGTTTTTAAATTTTGGACTTGTTGGATGCTCATTTTGCATTTTATCATTATTTTATTATCTTATCCATGGATTTCATACATGTATAATTTTTTGTAAGTGCCAATATGCACTTATTTACAAGATATACAAGAAATTTACCTAAATCCGCCTAGGCCGCCTAGGTGCCAGCCCGCTGCCTGACTAGCGCCTAGCGTTTTTTAGAACTTTGATAATAACGGTGGTAGGATGGATTGTTATTGGACATCTAGTGATCAAAGATTCATAACATGGTAGATTAATTTCATTAGAAAAAATAAAAAGGGCATATTTGTCGATTTTCTTCCTAAACTTGTATAGAATTGTCAATTTTCATTCTGAACTTTAACGTTAGCCGATTACCCCTTGAATATTTATAATTAGCCAATTTCCCCCTTGAACTTTAATTTTAGCCGATTACCTCCTTGGACTTTTAGAAATAGCCAATTTCCCCCCTGACGCTAGATTTTAAAAAGGAGAAATTAAGTTCCCATCCTTATTTTTTACACTCCATTGATTAAAACCTTTTTCCTTTTCAGATTTTGATCAAGGTTCTTCGGTTTTAATAAACGCTATTAATTATTCAAAAAAAAAAATATTTACATGTCAAGATAATTAAGTTTTATTTTTAAACATATTCATTTAGTGTTAGAAACGTTACAATTGCTATATTATTTTTATGGCTAAACTTTTTATTATATATTTCTATTTCTAATTTGTACCCATTTTTAATTTGCAAACCTTTTTTAAATTGTACCAATTTTCTTTTAAATTTTAATTTGTACCCATATATTAATTTCTTTTCTGTCCCTTATTTTTTAAACTTTTATTTGTACTCATAATTTTTTTAAACTTTTTTTGTACCCTTAATTTTTTTTATAATATACCCATTTTTTTTTACAAATGTACCACTTTGTTATATGTAAAATGTGTCCCTCTTTTTTATGTAAAATGTACCCATTTTTTAATGTAAAATCTATTTGTTTTTTAATATAAAATGTACCATTGTTTTTTTTAATATAAAATGCAGCCATTGTTTTCTATATAAAATGTACCCACGTTTTTATGTAAATGTACCAATTTTTTATATATAAAATGTAGCCAAATTTTATTATATAAATGTACTCATTTTATAAAATAAAATAAAATCCATTTTTTTTTATAATCTAGAATGCCCCCCCCCCCATAAGCAATTATTTTTTTTATGTCATTTATGTAGCAGGAGAGAGACTTCAAGAAAAAAATCTAAAATGCATAAGGTTTGAGTCTATTCAGTTAGGGACTAGGGATCGCAACTAAACTTTCCATTTTAAAAATTTTCATCCCATTTTTTTTATCCATTTTGATCATATGGACAACACATGACAACTGTATGGGGACAACTATATGGGGAGATTGGTTATTTATAAAATTTTGTAATTGGCTAAAGTTAAAATTCAGGGGAGAAATTGGCTAATTAAAAAAGTTCAGAAGGTAATTGGTTAAAATTAAAGTTTAAGAGAGAAATTGGCACCTTTATATAAATTCAGGGGGCAAATTGACAAATACCTCACAAAATGATTTCTTCTAAAAAATAGAAGCAAAAAATGATCAAAATGAATAATGAAACAGAAAATTATAGTTCTCCAAGACAGAAAGTGAACACATTTTCTATAAAGCTCCATCAGCCTTTTCTTTTCAACTCCCAAGTCTTTTAAAAAATTCAGTGATGTAAGATTTAGAGCACAAAATTTCAAAGATCAATTTTGTCAAATTTGACGGATTAAATTATTGTATAGACTTTTTTTTTCCAAGTACTTATATGTATCAACACTATAAACCGGTTTCTTGAGTCAATCCTTGGCGGTTTAATTTGTTGGAATAATTGGATCTAATTGCTATATTAAATCACATAAAAATTTAAGAAATAATTCATGCAATTATATATCGAAATTAATGCATGCACATGA